AAAGGGACTGGGTAGGGTTAATCATCTTCAGCATGCGAGGCGCATAGGGCTAAAGGATGATATTGGTTTTAGAAATTAGATAGCTTTTGAAATTTGTAAAGTGTAATTGACATTTGATGATAAATAAAAGTCATTGTTTATTTATAAGTAAAGTGTCGTTATATTCTGTCAATCGTTTACTATCATTTCATTTTGCATGTTTTGACTTCCAGAATAATTATGTTATGGTATATCATATTATTCAAATTCTCCATAGTCGGTCATATGTTGGAAGTAGATATGAATCAAGACTGTCATGAAGTTGGCTTGTAGATGTCTAAGGTGTTGGACATAGCAAGAGTTGCTATAACATTCATGAGTGCTCATAAGTTTTGAGTATTGGATTCAACCCACGCTCACTTGTATCACTTCATGGAATTTATCTCGAGTGATCGTGAGACGATAATATCATATAAGTCTTCAAACCTAGAGATATAAGTTGTTGACAATGAGTTGATTATACAATGATTGCACGAAAATGCATTGGTAACTCGATGTTATAAAACATGCATTTGTGTATGATTCAACAAGTAGTAGAACAAGCATATGAGTCGAAGTTTATCTATTTCTTCTAGAATTAGGAGCGATATTTGGGCCCCTCGATGATTTTATTTTGACCTACGTATCGGGACCGGTCAAAACTAAATTGATGTGTTCGATTAAGTTCTAATTCAAACAAATCAGAAATTGGGAAACAAACTGCTGGACAATAAGTACGACATTGTTCCATGTATTTGTCCGGCTAATATCTAGAACAAAAGAATATATGATCACTTATCTTAAATGGCGTATCATCATCATCTCAGTTCCTCGATACTTTGAAAGAGACACGATTGTTGATCGGTTCCTGAAGTCATACTTGCAGTTATAGTTATTAGACTTATCCAAGTGGGAGATTGTTGGATTAGGTATCTAAGTTCATAACTATTTCTGGTATGTACTTGACCCGGTTGGTATGGTCCATTTGGGTTGCATGGCATCTTGACACTTGGATAGACAAAATGAGAGAAAGGACACTTATATTTTATTAATATATTATAAGTTCTAATATATTAATAATATTATTTAATTAGTATTGATCAAGAATTAATTTAGAAATAATTTTGTGATCAAAAGGAGACTAATTAAATATATAGGGTTGAATGTGTAAAGCATCCATACTTTTATAGTGGGCTAATGATCCATGGTTTGTTGAATTGGGCTAAAACCCATAGGGTGCTCCACGGATAGTCCATGGAGGTTAACCCCATGGATCATGGAGGAAATGAAAATCCATGTCAATTAGGGTTTATATGATGTAACCCTACTTGTGACACAACTATAAAAGGACCCCATGAGCTACCAAAATCGGCACTAAGTGAAGTACTAGAGGGCTAGCCGATTTTGAGTGTGCGTACTTCTCTCAAAGTTATTCCAAGAGTAGTAATGATGTGTGACACATTTGAGGCATCACATTTGGGGTGCTAGACTCACAAAGTTCTTAAGGAATCCAAGCAACAAGAAAGGTATGTTCTCCTACTAGCTTTATGTTTCAAGTTCCCCATGCCATGATAGTTAGGTTAAGAACCTTGGAAAAATCAAATTTACATGTATATTAGTAAAACATATATCCAAGTTTTCTAGGATTTCATTTACACCTTAGGAGTGTTAGAATGCTCAAAACCCTTCATATACAACATAAGGGAAATCGGGACTAAAACATGCTACACTGAACATACGCCTTTGTATGCCACGCATACTCCTCGGAATGCCAAAACTCATATTAAGCACTTAATGCTTAAGTCCAAATATCTAAAACACATATGTTGCTCAAGGGAAACATCTTAAACAATAAAGTCATCAACTTGATGCCTTTGCATGGCTGAAAAAGAGGCCCGACATGCATTTCTAACACTCTAACTTCATACTAAGACCATCAACTCATGCATGGTTGAGCTTAACCCATCAAGATGTCATTTTTGTGGTTCTACAACTCCATAAATACCAAGAAATGACCAATACAAGTTATGGAGTAACTTTTACTCACAAGAACCAAACCAAGGGACCAAAACATACCAACATAATCCCAAATCTAGATCTAAGCTAAGGAGTCATTAAGTTCGAAGCTTTATACCTCCAGAAGCTTGCAAAGGTGAAGAGAGTTCTGGATCTTCAATCTCCAAGCAAACCAATCCTCCTTCAATGAGCTCTTATTCTTCTAGATGCACCAAAAAAACACTAAAACACATTCAAGGCTCAAATTTCTCTAAAATAGGATTAAGGTCTCGAGATAATGCGTTGGGACAATGGAGGCTGGAAATGAGGGAAACCTTGGGGCATAAGGTGCTTAAATAGGGTCCAAACCTTAAAATTTAGGCTTTTCTCCTAGTTAGAGTATGCCCATCGTACCAGGGGAAAATCTTGTGTCCAAGAATCGTCAAGGTACGCCCACGTACCTTGATTACACCCAGTGTAATAAACTAATTTGCAAAATAAATAAACACGTTATGATTTAATAAACTTACCTGAGAACCGGGTGTTACAATAGATTTGATCAATTTCACCCAGGGAGCATTTGGTAATGACAAAAACCGCCAAATCCATTTAAAGATAAGAGCACGATTGAGAGAAAAAAAAAAGACTATTCACCCCGAAACCACCATATTGCTTGTGAGCTAACACCTGCTTCGATATAACCCAAGTCATCTTGTGCTCTTCCAAATCAGTCCCTAAGAAAAAAGCATTACGAAAGGATTCTAGACGATTAACCAAAAACTCCGTAGCTCTAAAGATAGACATAAAATACCAAGGTTCTAAATAACGTAAGGCGTGACTTGGCGGCAATGTCAAGCCTTAAGCTTTTCCGAGCCATGGCGAGTCACATCGTTTGTAAGGCATGACTTAAGGCGGTAATTTTGTATATAATTCATATTTTTATATGTATTTTCAACTATTATTTATATTTATACACATATATGACTCAAGGTGGCATTTTGGTAAAGCTTGGCAGTACATACAAGCTTTGGAGCCATGGTGACTTTTTAGAACCTTGTAAAATACATCAGGGTTGCACCCAAGACAGAATTTAACAAAGTGAGTCTTCCTCCCACAAAAAGACTTTTATCCTTCCATTATGAAAGTTTGGAGGTGACTTTTCATATCACATCCCAAGAAGCAATACAGGACATGTTACCACCCATTGTAAGCCCTAAATAATTTAAAGAATATTTTTTAGGAACACACCCAATAGAAATCACCACTTCATCCACAATCAAAAACTGAACTCCAAACCCCATCAGATTACTCTTATGCACGTTAATCTTGAGGACACAAGCTAGAAAACAGTGAAGAAGTATTACTACATGAAGCACATTATCTCGTGACCACTAACCCTATAAATATTGCATTGACAGCGTAGAATAAGTGAGAAAGAGTAACCTGGGTCGAAACGCCAATCGGAAGGCAAAAACAAGCCTCGGTCAATAGTTCTTTGAAAAGCAGTATGGAGAGATTCCATAACAAGAATGAACATGAAAGGAGAAAATGGATCTCCTTGACGCAAGCAACGGTGAAATTGAAAATCATCAGAAGGAGCCCCATTCACTAATATAGAACACATAGAAGAAAATAAACATCCCCAGATCCAACTTCTCCACTTAGAACCAAAACTAAATTTAGAAAGAAGATCATCCATGAAATCCCATCGAACTGAATCATAGGCTTTTTGGAAGTCAACCTTGCAAAACATAGCTTGATGTTTACGTGACTTACACCAAGAAAACACTTCATTAAGAATCAAAGGACCATCTAAAATTTGTCGGGCTTTAATAAAGGCACAGTGTTCGGGGCTAACAATAGAATGAATAACCATGACAATTCTATTGGCTAATAATTTACCAATAATTTTATATTGGCAACCAAAGAGACTAATAGGACGAAAATCACTAACAAGCTTTGTATCATGCACCTTTGGGATCAATGCAATAAAATAGGGGTTGCACCCTTTAGGGAAAGCTCCATAATTAAAATTTTCCAACATGACATTAAACACATCCTTTACAATAAAATACAATAGTTTTTTGAAGAATTCAAAAGTAAAACCATCAAATCCAAGAGCTTTACTAGAACCACAATCCCAAACTGCTATTGTTATCTCTTCCGGAGTAACCGTTGCATCAAACAAACCTGCATTTTCAGGGGTCAAAACCTACGGAAAGTCATTATGTAATAAGGGTTGATACCAAGATGGTCTAGCAAACCGATCCTGAAAATGAGAGAGAAACACCTTCTTAAATTCAATAAGATTATCAATCCACTTCCTGTCCAAAAAAATGCCCCAACTACTTTGTTGACGATTTTTTATTAATCGCACCATGAAAATAGTTAGAGTTTTCATATCCCTCAATATCCCACCTAACCTTAGCTTGTTGAGCTAAATCAAAGGCTTTCTTCTTAGCAATGTCCATGATACATTTGACAAGATTAAGCTGAGTAGGCAATTCATCAGAAAGAACCCCTCCTTTATCAATACGGTGCTCAATCTACAAAAGTTTGTCTTGCGAATTCTCACCTAACATCACCCTTGTTTTATTAAAACTCCAAGCTTTTAAACATTGTTTTAAATGTTTCAACTTTATTTTTAAGGATAACCATAATATTTCCACTAACATCTCCATTAGACCTCCAAGAATCGTCAACTACTTTAGAAAAGTTTTCTTCCAAAAACCAAAGATGTAACAACCAAAATGGGATTGGACCATAGTCTAAAACGCCTCCTTTAAAATGATAGGTATGTGATCTAATAAATGGTGATCCAAAACCAAACCCGTTAGATTATTCCAAAGCAATAATAATCCGTTTGACAAAAGAAAACTATCCAATTTACTCATTTTACATGACCGCTTTTCAGACCAAGTAAAAGAATAATCGTCTAAGGGAATATCAACAAGCCCCGCTTCCGAAATAAAATCATTAAAATACTCTGTATGACGACTATGAAAAATTGAATTATGTCTCTCAAACTCAAAACAAACCTCATTAAAATCCCTCATCACAATCACTTCACCATTCCATCCATTGATAAGAGAAATAATCCGAGACCATAAAGACCTTTTAGCAATGATCTCCTTAGGAGCATAAACAAAAATGAGTAACATATACAAATTAGTTGGAATCCAACTTCCTTCCATAGCAATAAAATACTCAGAGCAAATCACATTGGATTTAGAGAACAACATTGTATTCCTAACACAAATGATACCACCAAACAAACCTCTAGCTGGGCATTACCCCAGACAACTTTAATCTTGAACATATTCATATAACTCATCTTCGTTTCTTGCAATGATAAAAAAATTCACACTATTTTTATACATATATTTCTAACCCAAGTTTTTTTGTCTTGGGTTCTAAAACCTTGCACATTGAGAGAAACAAAATTCATCCAACCATATAGTCTCGTGCCCTTTTATTGAGAAAGTCATGTAAATCCTATTCACACCCCTTCAAGGTAAATCCCATAGATTGCCCCACTTCTACGAACTCATTGAATTTTTCTAATAAAGAAACACTACTAACTAGTTTCTTTGGAAGGATGAAAGAGCCACCATGCTGAGAATTATTATCACCCAAATCAGTACTTAAAGGTCTTGTAGCCGAGGAGCTCTCACGATAAACAACAACAATTTTTCCCCCCTGCTTTTGTCCATCCTCAACCGAATGCACCATCTTACATCCCAATTTACCCTCAACATAACGAAAATTTGCAGTTATGGCATCAGGATCGAGGTTTACAGCAAACTGCTTATCAATCCTTATAGGAGGCTTGTTGGAACTACCAGAAACTAAGTTAACCTCAGCAGCAGTATCACAACATGCGGAAGAAGGAGTAGCAACTTTTTCTGATATGTTGGCAACCGGCTCAGACTGGACTGAAATATTTAGAGTAAATCCTGGAGGGATGTATCGAATCATCATTATCTTTATCTTGTCGTTCTTTAAGAATCTTTAATCGGGTCTTCAAGACCAAAATGATCATGCAACACTTTAAAAGTGTTATTATGATGAGGAATGTTCAAAGAATGCTTAATAAAAGAATCTGGTATTCGTTCCACCTCTTCATCCTCAACTCTAGAATCCACCTATACCAAATTATTCTCTCCAACGAATCCCCCTCCTATTTTCATTCACATGGTAAGAATTTTCACAATCAACATCTTCATCAACTTTAAATTTTGAATCATCTTCATCAACTTTAAATTTTGAATCATCTTCTACAAAATCTGGAATCTAACCTGTAACCTCTTTAGTCCGAACCATGAAGACTCTACCTTGAAGAATCACCTTAAAAGACTCCAAGATACTCTGTGAATCTTTCATTTTAATACACAAACGCAATCTATAGCGATAGCTCCTTTAGAATCTTCTGTGAAAAGTAACTCTCCCCATTTAGAAGCAATCCTCATAAAGGAACGGTGAGACAAAGCATGAATTGGAGTCCCTCAATATCAACCCATAGTACACGATCTTGAACCACAAAATCTTTAGTCCACTTCGAAATTTGAGAGAACCAAGAATTTATGCCTTCATGTCGTTTGAAATTATGAAATGCCTGAATAGATTGTAACTTCAGCATAACCCAAAGTCCTCCTAAATAAGACATTTTAATAGTAGGAAACCCTTCATTAGCACAAATAGATCTCAGATTAGTAAGATTTGTAAATTCTCTAACACAAGCCATACGAATTAAGGGATCGTCTTTGAAATTAATACAACTTTTGTCAAGAACTAGATAAGGCAAGTCATGATCAGTCTTCAAATGTTTCCCCGAATAGCATTTGCATATGATTGTCTGTTCATTCTAACTCCCTGATCAGAAACAGTAATTGAATGATTAGTGGTATCAGGATTACCATGCACCTGATGTCGATTGAAATGAGCAATGTTTGCAATTAACTTCAACTTCTCATTCCAAACAGATGACAATTATCAATCAGTAATTTCCAATCATCAATTATGTTGAACCTTACAAAGGCGAAAGGTTTCCCCAATTTTGATCGTTTATTGGGGATAAAGACATCAATAACTTTCTCGAATCGATCACACGTATTCCAGAGTTCTCGAACAATAAAGTGGGAAGGAAAGTTTGTCACGTAGACATTGCATGAAAGACGTTTGAGGAGAGAGTTATTGGAAAATGTAGGATTAGACCTTTGGTAAGGGAGATGATGTGCAGTACCCATCTTGACAGGAAATATATATATATATATATATATATATATATATATATATATATATATATATATATATATATATATATATATATATATATATATATATCGACGTCTGATCCAGACGAAGAGTGAGGGGGGCGAAAGCCCTAGTGTCAAATTGATTAAGTTACAATATTTATAGTTGGCCGTGTCAAATTTATTAAGTTAAAATATTTGTCAAACTAAATTGTGTTGATGTTTATAATGTTAATTTGATCGATTGAAATTTAAAGAGTTTAAATTAGAGTTCAACATGTTCGTTCTCATAAAATTCAATAACATATTATTTAATAATAAAGATAAAGTTGATCAAACTAGTTGAACAACAAATTGAAAGTTTGTCAAATTACATTCAAATATCTGTTTATATTATTTTAAGATATTTAAAATATTAGTTAATTGTAAAATCAAAATGCCCATAACTTGTAAGGGTACCCACCCGAGTGTAAAATGGGACCCGTAAGTCAAATTCATGTATGGACTTGTATTGATACAAAGACTGTTTGGTCCTCGAGCGTGTTAACACCGAATTACGCAACTCTTCAACATCTCAATATTCAAACCCAACAAACATTGGTCCCTCATCCAAGTTGAGATGGACTTTTAAATAATCACAATTTTATTTTATTATTATTTTCAAATGTTTAAAAATGGAATCTTCTATTTTATTTATATTTATCGACATAAAAGATAACAATATTAATTAAACTGTTTAAACAAAACGGGAGATAAGATCTTGATCCACACATACATATGGTAGATTTAATATAGCGCCCGATGAAGATATTCGGAAACTTTTTAACAAATTTTCTCTTTTAACATCCTGATGTCGATGACATGACAATACATAATCATTGGTGAAGGGACCAAACGGAGGTGTAGAAATGTCTAAGGACTAAATATGTAATTTCCAATTATTTTTTTCTATACATTACTTTCACGATATGCTAAGCCTAAAACCCTCGATACTTTAATAATAATCTTCATAATTTCTTTCTTATAAGCTTTTATAATAGATAAATCTTTAAATAGTAAAGGATGATATCATTCTTAATAAGTATAAGTAATTTTCTCTAAGTATAAGTAATTTTCTCAAGTGTTCACTAAAAAAAGATGACAATAAACCATTTTTGGGTGAAATAACATCGAATAAATAAAACATTTCAAAGGAATCGTCTCTTGTACACTGGTATAACAGACTTCAAAGGAAGACCATCTGTAATTTTTTTGGGATGGTTTGTCTATTCCATAAGGTTTACCAGGTATTATATGGGTCTAAGGTTATTTAGGTCAACAAGTTGGTTCGTGTGAGTTAATCATTATCATCTAGAAAAAGAAATGGATATAATATTACTCTAAAAGATATCTAGTTGATGCATGATTCTACATCATTTACGTGTACTCCTGTCTACCAAAGTAGTTCTCTTGACTCAATACAAAGGTGACAAAACGAATATTATTTTATAGTATGAGATGTCACAAATATTAATACACTCAAGTGCTCAACATAAAAACAAAGCCTATATGCATTTAGTAGTCTTAACTTGACGCAAGTAAAAAGAATGGACACCTCCCCACATTTTGGACCCCATCCTTGCAAACCAAATTGACATCATAACAACCGTGGTAGCATAATCACAAATAGGTTACATACTTGCATGTATTAGATAGTAATATATTGAATGCAAATAAATGTTTGATAAGCTTAATAATGACCGGACTGAATATTAAAATTATCATAGTATCACATTGTCATTCAGTTATTTTGTGTTGTGTCAGTTTTCTACTAACGGTATTAACTATAACCTCAACCTATTTATTGGTCTGAGCAGGATACGACTGATTTGAAATTCGTTGCACAGTTCATAAAATGAAAATTTTCCGCAAACTTTTGTGTACTTATAGTTACTTACCATGTCCATTCTCAATTCTTGGTCATTGAGATCTATGGTAATTCAGATTAATATTTAGGTATAGATATTACCTCTTTTTTTCTCCTTTCAAACAAATTGAAATGATTGAAGTTTTTCTATTTGAAATTGTGTTAGGTTTAATTCCTATTACTTTGGTTGGATTATTTGTTACTGTATATTTACAATATAGGTGTAGCGATCAGTTGAATCTTTGATTAGATTAATTAACATCTTTTTTTATTGACCTTCTTTCTTTAATATCCAGGAGGCCAAATTCAGATTGTCGTTCCAATCAGTGCTTCAACCGAATTCGATCGAAGAAGATCTGAATCACACTCTGTAGGATTTGAACCTACGACATCGGGTTTTGGAGACTCATTTTCTACTAAACTATTTATCTTAATGGTTGACTAATCAGCTTAATAACTCTATGATTTCCACAGTTTTAGACATCTTTATCTCAGTTCTTTCATGTTGTGTCAAACCGTTTACTTAAACGACCAACATATGTTTATTTCATGTTGGGTTAGCGGGTTGGATCAGATTTTCCACTTCCAGTCTCACACCAAGCCAAAATGGAGTGCAAGTCTACCATAACAAATTAACGAGCCATAAAAACTAGCTTTCGGAATAACAAAGTTTGTATAGATAGAAAAAGTTCCGATATGAAACCAGAATAATTATAAACATGTTCTCATTCCTTTGTAATATACATTGGTATTGACATATCTTCCTTAAATATAGAATTAGCAAGGTATATAATTTATCTTTTAGTATCGATAATTCTATCTATGTATATTGGACACGTAACATTTAAATCAAATAACAACAAAAACGGATAAACGGAGTACAAAATATCTCTTTACATACTTATGCATAGTCGACTTCCCCATGAAAACGCAAGAAAATGATCGAGGACCACAACATCTTGACCAAGTGTTCCATTTGAAAACAATGGAAGTGGAAGGGAGTCAAAAATCGATCAAAACAAACCCCACAAAACTTTAGAAGAGTCTTGCCAATCCACCCCCATCAAACAATCATAGTTACAATTTGGTCCCCACGATATATGACCCAATCTCACTTGTCCTCATACATAATAAGCACGAATACATGAATGGTACAGCAAATTATTGAAACCAACAGACAGGGATCACATGACCAACCACCAACCACACACTTATACTTTAACCAAAATACCATGAACACAACCACGATTGTACATCACGCATTTAAAATTGTATCCTATTCAATAAAAAATACACCTTAAAATGAAAAAAAAAAAAAAATTTAGACTATATATACACATATAATACAAGTTCATATAATCCTCATTGTAGGTTAATGACATGACATTCAATAGAATGAGGAGTTCAATCCTCATTGAACTCTACACTCTCTCTCCTCACACACAAATAATAAGTGGAATGTACATGTGTCAATCCATTGAACTTATATGAGTTTAGTAGGTAAAATTATATAGTGAGTAGAATATATATGTGTCAATACTCATATTAGTTCAATACATTGAAGATGACGTTATACTACTCAAATGTCATGATTTTGAGCATCTAGAACCTCTTGAACATGGTCATGTACTCTAGGTAAAAGTTAACTTCTTGAAATTTACCTCACAATATATTCACTTCTCTCTTATATGATCTCTCCTCCCAATAATAGCATCTATAGATTGTCTCCTACAAACATGAACCATTGCAATCTTCTTTCCCTCATGAATATCTTATTGTTGTGTTCGTTATCCGATCCAACAATGTTCTACCACATTTGAATTTCTATGAGCATCATGTTTATATCCTATTACTTTTCTATATTCTCCATTAGGCATATAAGGAGGTGGATCTTCACTCTTCTTGCATCTTTATGACTTTAGGATAATGAAGCACAACCACACAGTGATATAAAGATTTGTAATGCGTGTAAGGTGAGATATGTGGAATATTTGATTTTTTTTATTCCCTTCAAGAACCATCAAATAGAGAGTAAAGACTCGACATATATAAGTATATAACGTTATCTAGTCAAAATCTTGCTCCAACATATATAAACAAAATTACTCTCATCATAATCATGGACATAAAAATAAAAGGTGGGGTTCAATTAACCACACACCATTTTTACATTGGAGGGATGGGTACATTAACAATCTTGAATTCTGAATTTTCTAACCTTAGGAAAAAAAAAAGTGAAAAAGAATACTTTTTAAACAAGTAACTAAACAAAGTCTCCCATGCAAGCTTTTACTACTTCTGCTTCAAGTAGAAGTAAAACACAATGGAAACAAATACTCACCAACCACCTTTTGCTTTTACTTATTCCCCCACAAATCTTTAAAACAAATAACAGATTCGAAGAGATCTTTCTATACATGGAAACCCCAAGAATTGTTCCCCTATTCCTTGCAACCCAAGTTTCCAACTTTCATAACCTTTTTTCACGGTTTATCAATTTCAATATCAACCGAAACCCGACCCGACCCGCGACCCACAATTTTCCCAAACGATGGCACAGCCGATAAACTCCTAAAACTGCTGCTCCCTTCACTTAAATTCATAGACTTTCTTGATTTTCTCTGCTTAGGGGAGGAATAAAGATCGAGTTCTTGGTCAGCAGTGTTGACTTTGACTTTGACCACGGTCAGCCGGGCAATGTTGCTTCGGCAAAACGGGCAGATGGGTGCGGGCAGGGATAAGGTTGTTGGGTTCGGTTTGTTGTGGCAGCATAATGCGAGTGTGCATTGAGCACACATTTGATGACCACAATCTTGAACTTCAATGGCGCATAATTGGTCAAAGCATATGCAGCATAACTGTGAATCGCTCGCCTGCAAATTGCAAATATCAAAGATTATATAAATTTTAAATTCGATTCTAGAATGTTTATTCAAGTGTTGATTAAAGTAATTGAAATCGCATGTAAACGTATGGTGTTTAAAGTCAATAAAAATATCTGGTCATCGAAAGTCAAAAGTCATCACGTATGACCATTTCAACGTATTTATAACAATTAATAATCCAAAAGTTTTTGTCTTTCTGCATT